ATATATATATATATATATATATATGTATATATATTATTTTTATGAAATTTTAATGAAATGAACTTACAATTACCTTAAACTCATACACTGACCTCTTCTGTTTACGTTAGCTCGTTTCATAATGTTTTTCTTTGTATTTATTAATTTTTTTTTTTTTATCTCAAGTTAACATACACAGTTTTGATATTTATATATATGCACATATATAGATGAGAACGTGTTATACACATATAACGACATATGATGATTTAATATAATGTCGGTTGTGTGTGTGTTGACTTAATGATGAGAATATTAAACACATATGCACTAGAGAAGTTTATGAACATTTCATATGCAACAACAACAACATCAATAACATAAAAGACAAACTTTTCTATTCCCAAATGAATTGAAGACCAGTAATGAATGTTATAGTTGTCTTCGAGGAAAACAAAAAAAAAAAAAAAAAAAAAAAAATAGAGAAAAAGAGAGAAAGAAATAATAAAATTTTAAGAGTGAATTTTAGAAAACTAACATTTAAAATAAAATGAAATAAAATGTATTTTTTTTTTGTTTTTGAAAATTGAATTTTTTCTAACTAGAGTTTATTAAGAGCACAAGCGGTTCACTATTACCTTCACCTTCCCCACTTAATATATTTGTCAACTTAGTTGGCAATGTTGTCAACAGTAGGAGTACTTGAAAATTTGAGGTATGATGATTACAGAGACGATGACGATGACGATGACGATGATGACGATGATGATTATGATGATGATGATGATGATGATGATGTTGGTATACCATTAGATTTCTGTTGTGTGTCCTTTACAAAGGAACTACCAATCAATACTAAATGCTACTCTGGTTCTGTTCAATGATTGATAACAACAACTCAATATATATATATATATATATATAATATATATAAACACAAAGAAGCTATCAAAAAAATAAAAAACCAGAAAAGAAAATAAGAAATATATACGTATTTATTTATATAAACTAAAAAAAAAAGCTTTTCCTTTAACTCTTAGTCTAATATAAGTATTTATTTTTTTCATTGGTTAAGCACAACTCGACAAATACAATAAAATGCTCGGCATTCTAGTAATAGTAGTGGTACTACTACTAGTAGCAGTAGTAGCAGTAGCAGGGAATGAATACAAGAATTATAGTATACATGTGCAATATTTGTGTTTGTATATGTACGATAAAAACATGTTCGCAATGCTTGTAAATTGTGTAATATGTAAAGCCAAACATACAAATGTCATAGCAATCAAAGTTACCACAACACAAAACCACAATAACAAGAACAACAACCACAATAACCTTAAGCAAGTAATAAAATTATCAAGATATATATATATATATATATATATATGGGAAAGAACAGGATAGCAAGGCATTTCCTTTATTCAGTTCGAATATTTTCGATGAAAGTTTACGTTATTAATAGAAATACTATTAAACCATAACAAAATTGATCGACAAATAAGAAATCTGTCGACTAAAAATAGTAGGATTCAATGGTAGCGCCAAGAACGGCAGACGGAAAGAATTTAGGATTATGACATTATTATGTTGACACACATAAATAAACTAAATAAAGTTGTAATGAAAATTAGAGAGAGATTTCCTAAGAAAATGAGTGAAATCTTTAACATATATATCTATGTATAGTTGAATAAAATTCATTTCTCAAAATCCAAATTCCAAGTAAATTTTTAATTATATTTGAAAATTGTTGTTATTTTAATTGATTAATTATAATTGCGATAAGACGGGATACTTGAAACGTCAATTTTTATTAAATTTAAAAAAGACGTCATCCATTCATATATAGATTAAGTAGAGAATTATGTGAGGGAAAAAATCTTTTTAACATTTTCGCTATTAAGCCATAAGCCACGAACATAAATCAAAGTTCAATTTTTATATTTCACATTTATAACTAACTGCTTATGCTTTCTTCTTGTTCTTGTTTTTAGGGGTTTCAGTCCCTTCCGCGATGTAAGCGTCTAGCTCCTTGCAGAATAGCTTGTAGGGATGCAAACTCTGACATTTTAGTCGATTAAAACTCGTGCATTCTTGAAAACTTTTCGAAAGTTGTTGACAACCTCGCGATTCGCAATATGAATTCAGAATTTATCCAAAACTTCTCAATAAATAACATGAAAAACATTTGTTTACCCACGTACTGCATGTTTTCTTTTACTATACATGACCTTGGATTATCTTCATATTTCCTTCTGTATGTTTTCTCTTTGTTTTCTCTTTCTTTTTTGCTTAACATATATATCGCCCAATCCTAAGATCCTTAGCAAATATGTTTTCATATCTAAACTGAACACTCAGTGATTGTAACAGTTGTTTGCAGCATTAGTGTTAGGTATTTGCGTAGGGAAGAAAATGAACTAAAAGTTGCTCGGTCGTATGCTGGTATAATTTATATTCATAACCGGATAGTTGGAAATGGAGAAGAGAACCAAGCAGAACACGTTTTAGCGAATAATAAGCAAGTTCACTGAATATTTTAGCATAAATCGGTTCAAAGAACCATATCGTTAAACGATACGTAATCTATATCTTTGTAAGATCGAAAAGATTTTATTTGATATTTAACGCTATATAGCAAACCGTACTTTCAATGAATCATACGCCTTTTACTCGACATAGAATAATGATTCAAGAATTTATTGATTTTTTGTTTTGCAGAGCAACATACGGCCGAGGATGTCTTGTAAGAGAATAATGTTTTTTCTTGCAATGTTCTTTCTGCCGCGATGCGATATTCTTTTAAATTCAAAAAATGAAATGTAATTGAAAATTAATTGTCTGCAACGAGCCTGAGGAAGTGCGTCGAAAATGGTTTGATTCTTTCTCGAAATGTAACGTTGGCATCTTAAGTCAGTTTCGTTTTCATCTTAATCTTTTCAAATGTGATAAATAAGTTAAACTTAATGCACTTGGAAATTATTTCATATTGTTCATCTTATTATAATTCACACTCCAAACATTCCGGGCAAGTGTTCGACAGAGGTAAAACAGAGATGTCCCCCAATTAAATCTTTCAACAGGAGTACACGCCTTTATCGGCAATCTCATCCTTCCGTGCTGGAGTTACCTGCATACCGCACAACACACTATCGCGACTCGTCGTTTTTTAACCGCGTGCCACGCCTTTGAAACGACCTATAAGTAGCGATCTCCCGTGCCGCAACTGATATCTCTATTTTCAAGTCGAATGTTCACGAACACAACTCCTTCTCTTCACTTCCACTTTTCCTTGAATCCTTCCTGACCGTGCTTGCGCATATAGGGAATATCCTCTGAGTGGCTGGAAAAAAATTTTATAATATTTCGGGAAGGATCGTCTTTTCTCGCTAATATCTTAAATTTCGGTCTCTTCTCACTTTTAGATATTTTCGCTGTTTTATTTTAATAAATCTTGGCGATTTTATGCATTTTAATTAACTTTTTATTTGTGCGAAGTTAATTAATATAATTTGATTATTTGTGCAGAGTTAATTATGACAGGAAACAGATGACGCAACTCGAAATGGATTTTTTCATTTTTTTTTTTTTTTTTTTTTTAAAAAAATTTTTATATTATTTTTTTTGTGCAAAAAACATTTTATGAAACATTAATTACTTTCAATGTTGTCATAAAAATTGTAATAATAACGGAAAATTGTAAGCGATGGCGCCTTGAAATCGCGTGGAAATTATTCGTACCGCCCTCCCTTTAAGCGACAAGATGCAAGTCGCAGCTTATATAATTTGAAATCGGTTTACTTAACATTGTTTTGTATTTTATTTTATCTTCTTTTTTTAAATAAATTATTAAATAAATTATTGATTTCTTTTTTTAACTAAAATTTTTATTTTCTTTTCTTTGTCTTTTATAAAAATTCCTTTCATTCTTTGTATTACTTCAGCATTTTTTTTTTTTACTTTGCATATTTTATGGAAAAAGAATATAATTCTCTTACCGCTTTAAGGTAAATAGTTTTGAAAATTCAAACATTTTTTAGCGGCTTTTGTTAAATAAATAAATTCAGTGTATATTTATTGATGTGGTAATAAAAGTCTCACTCGAGTGAACATACAACTAATAATATGAACTCTACGACAACAACTAAACAAATGATTTGCAAAGTCCACTACAGAAACCTGCCTGCAGAGAAACAACACAACTAATAAGGAAAACCGCTCATATAAATATATTACGAAAAGAAAAATAAAAAAAAAAAGAGAAGTTAAAAACATTTGCACGCCCATAAGTTAGGGTCACGCTATAAAAACCCTGAGATCTCTTACCGCGCTTCCACTAAAAATAAAATACCTCTCTATATTTCACTAGCAAAGCGCTGCAGCTATATGTGGTACTTTAAACTATAATTAAATATCAAAGTAAAGTTGTAAAAACTTCTTCAATATAGCAATGTTTCAATAAAGGACACGCATACGCTTGGCATTTTTTTTTTTTTTTTTTTTACTCTTTCATATACACTCTTCCCTGAAAGCACTTTTGTTTTTATAAACAAACACTTGCAAGCATACACAATTTTTTAAGTGCAACTTAATATACGATACTTGGAGAGCTTTGCAATTGATTTGGCAAAAAACAAAAAAAAAAAAAAAAAAAAAGAAGAAAATGAAGAAAAATAAGGGAAAAACAAAGTTCCACGACTCCTTTAAGCTAAGTTTAAGAGGGGAGAATAGTAAGAAAGTGGCATCAAAAGTTTCTTGCATAGACATTGGAGGAGTGAGGTTAGAACAGTGTACATTTAACTTTTCAAACTTAACGTTCTTTGACCTTTGTGGTTTGCTCGTATCGATATCGCAATGCACACATGTGAAGTTTTCGCCCTATGTAACACCTGTTCTCTTAGTTGGTATTCTT